ATTTATTATGAATAAAATTTAAAAAAATGTGAGAAAATAAGATTATTTTTGTTAATTTGTATTTCCGTCTGACATTTTAGCTGTGAATGTCATAATACTGTTAGGTTTTACTGCAAAAAAATGCCCATATGTGTAATCAGCGATGTCTCACGAGTACAACAGTACCCCCCATTAACAGGTTTTATGGTGTTTTGGAAAGTTACAGGGTCAAATGTAGAACATTCCATTTTCAAATTGAAATTTGCCAGATTAGTAATGTTACCTTTGAGACGGTGTGGTAGCCCAGGAATGAGAATTACCCCCATAATGGCATACCATTTGAAAAAGTAGACAACCCAAGGTATTGAAAGTGGGGTATGTTTAGACTTTTTTAGTAGCCACTTAGTCACAAACACTGGCCAAAGTTAGCATTCATGTGACTTCACGTGCAAGCCTTATATGTGACTCTCTAACTTTCCAAAACACCATAAAACCTGTACATGCGGGGTACTGTTATTTTCGGGAGACTTCACTAAACACAAATATTAGTGTTTTAAAAAGGTAAAACATATTACAACAATAATAGTGCATACAAGTGCTGTTCGTTTGTAAAAAATGCAAAAAACGTCACTTTTACTTAAAATATCATCGTTGTAATACAATTTACCAGTTTGAAACACTAATATTTAAGTTCAGCGAAGCCTCCTGAGTAAAACAGTACCCCCTATGTACAGGTTTTTTGGTGTCTTGGAGAGTTGCAGGGTCAAATATAGTGCTTGCGAATTAAATTCTCTGCACTTTCTCCCTGTGTTGTCAGGCATGTCAATCAAATTTTAAGTAATCAGATCACATAATTATGTTAAAAGATTACTTAAATATACACGTAGAATTTTAATATATATGCATTTATAGGTATTTAAATTCTACGTGTATACTAATGTAATCTTTTATGTAATTATATGTATTTATCCAGGTTCAGAGAAGGGCTACTAAACTGGTTCATGGATTGCGGGATAAAACTTACCAGGAAAGGTTAAAGGATCTTAACATGTATAGCTTGGAGGAAAGACGAGACAGGGGGGATATGATAGAAACATTTAAATATATAAAGGGAATCAACACAGTAAAGGAGGAGACTATATTTAAAAAGAAGAAAAACTACCACAACAAGAGGACATAGTCTTAAATTAGAGGGACAAAGGTTTAAAAAATAATATCAGGAAGTATTACTTTACTGAGAGGGTAGTGGATGCATGGAATAGCCTTCCAGCTGAAGTGGTAGAGGTTAACACAGTAAAAGGAGTTTAAGCATGCGTGGGATAGGCATAAGGCTATCCTAACTATAAGATAAGACTAGGGACTAATGAAAGTATTTAGAAAATTGGGCAGACTAGATGGGCCGAATGGTTCTTATCTGCCGTCACATTCTATGTTTCTATGTTTCTATATATATATTAGCGGTTATTTGTATTTTATAAATAGATAGATATATATAGAATGTCATTCTAAGTGTATTTTGTTACCTATATATATATATATATATATATATATATATATATATATATATATATATACATATATATATATATATATTAAAAATAAAATACAGTTAGAATGAAATTATATATGAATTTTGTTTCAATATTTTATTTATTCATTTTATTATTTTATTTATTTATTATTGTAATTATACGTACATTTATATATATATAATATATGTGTATATATCTATTATATATATATAATATATGTACATATTATATATATGTAACGTCATTCTAAGTGTATTTTAATACTAATATATGTGCTACTATTAATATTAAAATACACTATGTATGACGTTACATATATATAATATGTATATATATATATATTATATATAATATATACATATATTATATATTTATAAATATATTTATTTTATTTTAAAACATGTTTAAGTAATTTATTTTACATTTCCCACCAGCAGGGGGACTATCTGACATTTCAGGCAGATCTACAGCCAGCTATAGAGGGTCATGTGATCGCTCTTTGAGAGCGATCACATGGCCCCCGGGGGCATCATGTGCTGTGGGAGGGCTGCCTGGGCTGTGACGCAGTCCTCCCGAAGTGGAGCACCGGGTAGGTAAGTATCCCGGGCGCTCCAGGGCCCAAAGCCGTTAAGGCATTCTATGCTGCCGCAACGGCTTTAAAGCCCACTTATTGCGGGACGGCATAGAACGCCGTAACGACGTTAAGGGGTTAATGGAATACTTTTTTTTTTTCTCTTTTTGTCACAAGTGGTTCTATGTATACATTGCTGAACCTATTTGTATATACTGTATGTATATGAACTTTTGCTTTAGAATACAGTTTTCCTAATTAAGAGTTTATCGGACACACCTTAGTATTGTAAGTCTACCGGTGTAATAAAAAGTACTTATTTACGGGGCGGGGCATGACCGCAGGGCCAGATTAAGAGCCCAGTGGGCCTGGTGCTGACAATTATGATGGGCCTAATTACGTAATCTTCTCAACCAAAAACACTAAAACAGTCATACCTCCCAAGCGTCACGTATCTGATTTAGATGGTGTTGGAGGGAAACTCAAAGGATGCAGCTACTCACATACTCTATGCTAATCTCTCTCTAATTCATGCTTTCAAGTAAATCCATACCCCTTAACAGCAGTGTCCAGTGAAGCAGGAAGTCTATGGATGGGGTAAAAGGATGGGCCACTGGCGCAAATCACGTGACCAGACCTGCCAAAAGGGGTGAACATGCCCAAAAAGGGGGCATTTTTGTCCAAAGAATTGGAAGGACAGCCTGGCATGAATGCAGGCTGTCCAACTAGGGGCATACTATGCAGGCAGCACCCTGAACTTGACATAAATGCATCAAATGATGCGCCTACTTCACGCTTTCTAAGAACTGTCAACTAGCACTTGCATGTCCACATGTCTCCTTGTCATCTTACTAGCAGGCAGAAGTTCCTGGTATACAGTCTGGGACAGAGAAAAGGTGTATGTAGTGAGTGTAGAAGAAAAGGAACATGCCACAGTGTTAGAGAGACCAAAGTCTGCATTATCTAAACTAATGTTATTGTCAGTCAGTCCACACAGGTTTTGTTCTCATGCATCCCTCTTAAGCTTCCAAACTTAAAGGGACACTATGGTCACCAGAACAACTACAGCTTATTGTATTTGTTCTAGTAAGTTCCAGGCTTTTTGCAGTAAACACTGTCTTTTCAGAGAAAATAACTCTGATGGCCACTCCTTAGATGGCTGCTAGAGGTGCTACCTGGGGCAGTATTGCCTAGTGTGCAGCACAGCCATTCAGTGTCTCCACCCTCTGCATTCAGACACTGAACTTTCCTCATAGAGATGCATTGAATCAATGTATCTTCATGAGAAGATGCTGATTGACCAGGGCTATGTTTGACTTGTGCTGGCTCTACCCCTGATCTGCCTAGTTGACAGTCTCAGCCAATCCTATGGGGAAGCATTGTAATTTGCTCAGACCACCACTTCTGATGATGTCAGCAGACAGAGTCAAAGGCATGATGTCAAAGGCAGACAGGGAAAGAGCCAGCAGCTGTAGACTTGAATACAAGTAAGAGTTTACTATATTTAGGGAGGCAAGAGGGGGGCAGGGGGGCTAAATGGTGGTTTTAACATAATAAGGTCAGAAATATGATTGTATTTCTGACCCTATAGTGTTCCTTTAAGCAAGAGTATGTGAAGAGTAGTTAGGGTTGCCTCCTTTCTTGGAAAAAAATACCAGCCTTATACATTTGTATAATTATTTAGTTATGCGTGACATCACATGATGTAAATCACAAGGAGTGACATAAGAGAAAATTCTGTAAAATCACCAACAAACTACTAACAGCTAGATTCTGCTGTATAGATGGATTGCTTCCAGTGTCTCCCTGTCTTCCAGTGTCTCAGTCTCGCAAGTCACCTAGTCTCTCAGTGTCCCTATGTTGCCCAGTCCCCTAGTCTCTGTGTCTCAGTGTTCCCATTTCTGTCAGTGTCCCCATGTCTCACTGTGTCCCCAAGTCACTGAGAGACCTGGGGACAGTGAGACACTTGGGGACACTGGGAGACATAAAGACACTGAGTCACTAGGGACACTGAGACATGGGGACACAAACACTGGGAGACTAGGGGACACTGGGAGACTAGGGGGAACTGGGAGACATGGGGACACTGGGTCCCTAGTGTCTCAGTGTCTCCCAATGTCCCTATGTCTCTCAGTGTCCCCATTTCTCCCAGTGTCCCTTAGTGTCTCAGTGTCCCCAGGTATCACAGTATCCCCATGGGTCCCCTAGTTTCTCAGTGTCTCCTAGTGTCTCAGTGTCCCCATGTCTCCCTGCTGCCTTTCCCCCCATCCCTCACTTACCTGAGCTGTAGAGATTCTGTCTGTACTCTCTGTGCTGTGTAGCTGCTCCCCACGGATCAGTGAATAGTAGAGAGATATGCTGGGATATGCTGTAACTTCCTATCCCTGCCTGCCCCACACACAGTGACCCCTACTGGCCGGTGCTGATATTGCAGAGTAATTTCCGTTCATACTGAGAAAAATACCTGTATTTGTATTGCCGGTATTACTGCAATACTGGCACTGGCCAGGCAGCCTCAAATACCAGTCGTGCCATTAAAATACCAGTTAAGTGGTAAATCTAAGAGTAGTGTGTTTTTTTTTTTTTTAAATGGGCCTATTCCATGGGCCTGGGCCTGGGCCTGGGCCTAGGCCTGGAGGTGCAGCTCCATCAGCCCCTATGTTAATCCGGCCCTGCATGACCGCCATACTGAACGGACACAGCGGGCTCAAGCTTCTGACAGACTTTCATTTAAAGAGTTTTAGGGGACATAATCAACTTAGTATTCGTCTCTCCGCTATTGACACACAAGCTGGGCACCTCATGGGTACCATTAGAGCTGTCTCCAAGGCCCACTACTCCTGTTATCGTGCAGCTGTGTCCTGTGAGCTGTTGCAGCCCTGTGCTTCTGGTTGAATCCTGTAGTTGACGGCCTCAACATGGCTGATGGCAACAGATCTCTAACGTATGGGGCCCAAGTTGCAGTCAGCTCATGGGAAGCATCCTTTCACAAGGCGTTTGACGCCATATGCCAGCAATTCTGGGGGAAATTGCAGGAGAAGCAGAGGCAATCTACACTGCCTGCTCCAGTGACACAGCTTCAGGGCATATTCTCAGAAAAAAAAAACTCTCCCAGGCGAGGATCCAAGATGGTACAACGCAACCTGGGCTACAGAGGCATCACCCTTGTTGTAAGGAAAGAGGCCTGTAGAGAATGGAAACATGTTCCTGTTATCACCAGGGGCTGGAGAGATGCAGCACAACACGACAGATGGGGAAACTCCTATCACTTACACAGGACTGGACTCTGCATTGTCGCAATGGGGATAGCCTGAGTAGGCAGGTTATAAATGACAAAAATTATTTTCAAAAATGGTGCAGTACTCTTAACTTTAATGATGTATACGCCTGTCATTTAATAATTGTATTATTTCTGCATGACTTGTTTTCTCTGCAAGCACCACAATAAAAAAATGATTGACCCCAAAAAAAAAAGTACTCATCTCATTACTTACTTTTTTGGGTTGCTCTGATATATTATCTTTCTCTTTCAATTCTTTGCTCATCACCTGTAACAAATAAAGAAAGTTAATCTGGCAAGACATATTGCTATTTCCAACATACCTTATTACTTTATATCCAGATTTCCAAAACGGGTCCATATCAGCAGGGCCGGTGCAAAGAATTTTGGGTACATAGGCGAAGATGCATTTTTCCTCCCCCCCCAAAAACATATTCGCCCATGTGCCTCTTAACCTCCCTTTTGTGTTTCTTATCCTGTCTTTTAAATATCTGACTCCCTTTAGTGTATTTTATCTCCTATTTTTGCCTTTGTGTGTCTCCTATCTCTCCTCTTTGTGTCTTTTATTCTTCCCAGCTCCTTTGTGTGTCTCTTTCCTTCTCAAGCCCCGCTGTGTGTTTCTTTTACATCCAGCCCCTCTCCCTGTCCCTTAATGGTCCCCTCCCTTCTCTGACCCTTACTGTTCCTCTCCCTTCTCTCCTCCTTTCCCTGTTCCTCAGTGTTCCTTTCCCTTCCCCCCTCCTTTCCCTGTCCCTTAGTGTTCCTCTCCCCTCCCCCCTCTGTTCCCTGTCGCTTAGTGTTCCTCTCCCCCCTCCCTCCTTTTCCTGTACCTTAGGGTATCTCTCCCCTCTTCTCCATGTCCCTTGGTGCGCCACCCACCCCCATAGTGGTCCCCTCCCCTTCCTGGTGTGCCTCCTACCTTTCTTGTAGCGTGGCTGAGCGGAGCGAATCCCGGTACAGTGAGCTTTTCCTGTCAGTCCTGCTAGGTACAGGAAACAGAAGTTCCTGTACCACGGTACACTCCGCTTGGCCACGCTACAGTCAGGGGTGTAGAAACACTGACAGTCACACACACTCAATGACAAACACACAGACATCTCTGACAGCCAGACTCACTTATCTGACACTCATTCATTGACAGACACACAAACACTGACAGACTCATTGACAAACACACACAAACTCACAGACACTGACAGACACATGTACTCACATGCACACACGCACATACTGACAGACACTCACTCACACACACACACTGACAGAACCACACACACACATATTCACATACACACACACACACACAGACAGACACACACATACACACACACACACACACTGACAGACACACTCACACACACACTGACAGACACACTCACTCACATACTGACAGACACACATACACACACACACACACACTGACACACACACACTGACAGACACACTCACTCACATACTGACAGACACACATACACAATCACACACACACACACTGACAGACACTCACACACACGCTGACAGACACACATACACATACACACACACTGACAGACACACTCACTCACACACTGACAGACACACTCACTCACACA